GATGATAATAGCTATATTGCATCAGCGCTGAAAAACTCTTGGATAACAGTGAACCTATCCTGAGAAATCTTCTTAAAGTGCCTGAACATTGCATTTTCTAAAAAGAAATAGGGCTAAAGCTATTGTTTGGTAGTTCATTTTTCTCGTCTTCATCCTTTGTTGATTTTATTTTCCACTCACTGGAATACTCTCCTGGAAGCATGAAGAGTTTTCCATGTTCCAGCTAATTAAAAATAAAGATGCATATTGTTTAGAGGAGATGCTAACAATAATATCTTTAATTTCACTTATGTACAGAGTTGAATTTGCAAGTGGGATCAACATGTTTGCGTCTGCATCAGTATGACTGACAGCAGGAAACATCTCAGATGCCTATCAGCCTTATTTCTCATCTCAGTGTCTCGCTTAGGCACACTGTGTGCTGTGTGTGGCTGTGTTGTTCCAAGCTCCCTTATGCAAGAGCAAGACACATGTGCCCTGACATGGACTTGGTGCACATCACACTCACATCTTAGGTGCTTGCACTACCATACCCCAGCTCTTCTGCCACTGTCCTCCTTGCCCCGTCCCATGACTGCCCTCCTGGCCCAGTCTTGCCCCTGCCTGGCTGCGACAACAGGTAACACAGCTGCAAAAGAGCATCAACTCTGTCAAGTCTTCTCTCCTCGTTCCACTTTTTAACAATTTTGTCTTCATTGAGTTCAATTCTGTTTTTTCACTGGATGAAGTTCTTCCTGGTGGAACTGCAGTGCTTCAGCCAGAATATTTTCTTTTAAAATTTGGTAATAGATACATAGAATGGTTTGGGTTGGAAAGTACCTTACGATCACTAGTCCAACCTGACTGCTATGGGCAGGGATGCCTTGCACTACACCATGTTACCCAAGGCTCTGTCCAGCCTGGCCTTGAACACTGCCAGGGATGGAGCATTTACTACTTCTTTGGGCAACCCCTTCCAGGGCCTCACCATCCTCACAGTAAAGAACTTCTTCCTTTTATCTAAACTAAACTTCTCCTGTTTAAGTTGAAACCCACTGCCTCTTGTCCCATTGCTACAATCCGTGATGAAGAGTCCTTCTCCAGCATCTTTGTAGGCCTACAATCCCTGATTTTACAGGTTTTCTCATCTCTCCCCTACTCTTACCTGAACCCATGCCCCATTTACTCCAGGGCAGCTCTGCAAGTTTTCATGATCCTGAGTATTTTTCTGACTTGAAATAGTTTTACTTGACATTGCTAAATATTAGGCTAGTGAAATCCTAGCTTACAGATAAAACAATATGATAGAATTATAAATATGTTCTTGTCCAAGCACATAACAATGACTGAGTCTGAATGTGACAGTTTAGATGTCTGGTTTCCTCCCACCACCGTGGGAAAAGGAAGCTGCTTCTGTGCTTAGACAGCAGCGATTACTTCCTACATCTGTGTGGTGAAGAGGGGGTCAGCCCCTCTTCGGCTCTGCAGCTCCAGAGAAACAGGGGTGCAGTGGCTCTGGCTCTGCAACCTGGCACCTATGTGTGTCCAGGGGCCCTTTGCAGACACACACTGGCCCTTGAAGGCTTTCAGTTACAAAGCTTAAAATAGGTTAGGGAAGGAGGAGAAAGAAAGTCTAGCAAACTGCTGGGACTGCAAGACTGGGAGATCAGCCCAAGCTCAGGCAAAGCAAATCCACAGCCCTATGGCCTTCACAAGGGTGTTTTCTTGATCAGGGTCTGTGTTTTTGTGAAACTGAGGGAAAATAATTGTATAAAAATGGCATGTCCTGTTCCTCCTTTCTAGGAAAGCACAGAACAAAAATACAATCCAGTTTGCAGACAGTGAGAAAAAAAAAACAACCCAACTGTGTATTTTAAGGCAGAATTTCTGTTTTGTACAATTTCTTGTGGAGAAGAATTCCCAGTATTAATAAACGAGCCCAAACTGGAACCATTAAAACAAGTGAGACTTCTGTCATTTACTTCAGGCTTAGCAGGTTTTGATACACGTCATAAACAATTACAGTAATTTTCTTTTACCATCTAAACAGTGAAAGTGCTGTGCAACCCACACAGCTAGGTTCTTGTTTTCTGTGAGCAAAGTAGATCTCGCTTCCTTTCTTGGTAGGTACAGCTGGGCAGAAGTTGCATAGTTCGATGTCTTTGCTGAACCAGGAAAGAACACTGGATTTTGGACCCACAAAAAATACTCAATGTTGGGTTTTTTTTCCTCTCTTGGAGGTAAACTATTGTTTGTTGTTCATTGTGCTTTTTCTCTTTTAAAGGTTATTTTTTGACCGTTTGCGTTCCACAAACAACAGGAAGGATACTGTGGTTAACATGTGGTTGCAGTGCTGGAAAGGGGCAATACAAATTACAATCTCAGATTCTATGTTTTATTGTCTCTCACCAATAACCACATTAGACCTGCACAGACTGAATGTACAGATATTGTAACAAACTTTTAAAGCATTTTATAACAATCAGCCGCATAAACTCAGTTTGAATGTTGAACTGTGTCTACAGGCAAAGCATCACAATGACAAAAAAACCTATTGGAATTTAATAATTCTATTGATGCAAGAATCACATTACATCTATTTCACCTGTTGTGGCTTGTAAAGAGGAATGGAGTTATGCAGAAACCTTTTATTACCATTAAAATTGTAACTCAGATTTGCAACTACACCATTTTATGTAGTGGCTTTTAATATTCTGAGGAGTGGAACTGGATTTTTGTGTCCCTTGTACCCCAATCTTGAAAATGGTGTGGAAATTCAGGTACAGGGAAACACTTCCCATAACTGACCCTTTGGAGAAGGCCGAACAGGAAGGTACCTTCTCGTGTGCAGGATATTGTTAAGAAGCTTTTTCTATGCTACACCCAGTGAAACTTGTTTGAAAGAGCCTTGCTAGGCCAGAACATCAGATGCTGCATACCAGTCACAGCTCTTCAATCAGCCAGTCAGCTGCTAGCCTCAATTCTCTCTTTGGTCCCGTGCAGTATAGCAAAGGTTAAAGCATAGGAAACGCTCAGCGGGGTAACTTTATCTTTGTTTTGAAATCATAAAATCTCTTTAAGAAGCAGATATACCTGTGAGAGTCAGGCAGAGCTGTCTGAGCTGGGGAGACTTGCCTGGGTGCAGTGAGGAGCAGGGATTATTGCCAGTGCTTGTAGTGGAGCTCAGAAGGGATGATCCCAGCAGGGCCAGTCAGGATAGGGCTCGGAACAGCCTGGTCTAGTGGAGGGTGTCAATGCTTGTGGCACGGGGTTGGAATTACGAGATCTTCAAAGGTCCCTTCCAGCCCAAACCATTCTGTGATCACTTGGAGGAGTGGACAAGGCAGCAGCTTTGGGGTTTCTGAAACGAAGGCCATGGTGTCCAAAGGTGATGCAGTCTCAGGGCCTGCAAGAAACTGTTTTGTTGGGGTTTTTTTTTTGCCTTTTATTTTTTGTTAAAGGCGGGTTTGTGATCCTGGAGCTCACAATTCCCTGCTGACAGGCTCAGACGTTTATTCCGCAGGCTGCTCGGGGATGGCCGCCCGCGGCCTTCCCGGGAAAGGCTGTCGGGAGCGTTCACTCGTGCCAGGCAGGGGGAGGCCGTGCCTATCTCGTTAAGCCACCCCTCGCCTTCGGCTTTCCTACTTATGTCGGTACCCTTTGCCTTACCGACACCGGCCCAGCAGGCCGCGGCCCGCCGCCCCCTCCCACAATATGGCGCGTCGGGCCGGGTCGAGTCCCCCCCACCACCTCGTCCCCGCCAGCCCTTCTGTCCACGAGGGCCCCACTCTACCTACCTGGAGGCCCACCTCTATGGTCAGGGGCGCGGCGGTAGGGGGCGGGCGTTGCCCGGCCCCTCCATGTGACGGCCGCGGCGGGGCGGGGCCTGTCCGGCGGGGGACGCGGCGGGCCGGGCCGGGCTGGCGGTTGGAGCGACTCCCCTTTGTGTCTGGAGCCGACGGGGCCGCTGGTGCTGTTGGGGCGGGCCGGCGGGAGGGGGAGCGAGCCGCGGCGGGGCGGTGGCAGCGGACCTCCGGCCCTCGGCACCCGCCCGCAGCCGGCGACTGGCAGGGGAAGGAGGCGGAGCGGCGCGGAGCTGGCAGCGCGGAGGGGCTGAGCCTTTCCTCGGGCGAGCGGAGACTTGAGGGGTTAGAGGAGGCCGGGCTAGGCCGGGGGTCTGCCTGGCGCTGTGGAAACTCGGGGAGGGAGGCGGAGGAGCGGGAACGCCGTCCCCCGGCGCGGGGAAGGGCCTCGGCCGCGCTCCCGCCCGCGGAGGGCAGCCGGGTGCCCTCGCAGCTGGAGTCGCCGAGGAGGGGCCTCGCTCCCGCAGCCCCGCGATCCGGGCCCCACCTTTGTCGGGGTGACCGGCGGTGGCGTCGCTTCTGTGGCGGGGGGCGCGCGGTGGAGCCCGCCCGGCGCGGGAGGCAGATGGGCCGGGATGCAGGCGCAGCACTCGCCGTGAGAGCGGATCCGGTCGCGCCTCGCCTCGGAGGGACTGAGGGTATCGCCGCTGCCTTCCCGGGAGCGTGAGGCAGAGAGCAGGGGCGGTGAGAAGACAGAGACCTTTAACGGGATGGGACGCGGCTTTACCGTGAGCCCGTAGAGCCTGTGGTGACCGTGCCCCGGTCAGCCGGCGAGGGCTGCTCTGACTGACATTGCTGTAGACGCGGGCTCGCGTCTGGATATGTTTCCTCCTCAACCGGGCTGTTTCTTCGATATCGTGAAGCTGCGTGGGAAATAAGCCTGGTTCCCAGTTCGGTCGGGAGCGTGCAGCCGTTCCCCGGCTGGGGGACATGCCTCGGGGCTGGGAGGCAGGAGCAGGCGCTTCCCCTGGGTCCGCGGAGCCGTGCCGACTCCCCAGGCATGAAGGCAGGCGGGTGTAATGGAGTAAGAGCGAAGACGGCTCCTCTCATCTGCCATTTGCCTTTCCAGACGGGATTGTAAACCGAGAGAGTTGAGGAAGGCTGTGCGAAAGAAGGAGGAAATTCCTCTCGTCGGGTTCCCACCCCCCCTTTCTTTTATTTCTTTTAATTTTTTCCCTCGTCCTGCCTCGAACCTCGGCTTCCCCAGGTATGACTGCTTCACTGCAGCACCTTGTGCTGGTGCTCCTGCTCTCCAGTGCCACCCTGCTGCTCAGCACTGCGGCTGGTAAGTAGCCAGTGGGTGTAACGAACTGGCCATTTTGGCAGAGGGAGATGGGGGTGGGGTCGGCTGGTATTCGGGCACATCTGGGTCTCCTTAAAAAGTGGTGTGCATCTATTCCAGCCCGATAAAGTTTTCGAAATCCCGGTATATGTTAAGCGTCTCGGAGAATAAAACCTGCTTTATTGTGTAAATGACCCGCATTCAAGACGTATGCTTTGCCTAAATCTGCATCTCTTGTCTAAGAACTTATTTCAATTTTGGAAAAATACATAATCTTTTTGTTTTGCATACCTCGCCCTTTGTAAGGTAATGCAGGAATTTTTAATATATATTTTAATCGTCAGCAGAACTGTGCCCGTTTCGTTGTGGGATCTTTGGGCACAGCCATTTTTAATTTTATCACCACTGGTGCTTTTAGGGGCCTTAAACATGTGCTGCAGTTTTATACCATTTCCTTTTCTTGGAAGAGGGATCTGAAGCAGAAATGTGGGTATTCCTATCACAATTATAGAACGGTAATACAAGACTCCATTGAGGAATGTTGAAAGGTCTTGAAGAGTATTCTTTTTCTAAAAAAGAAGTTGGAAGCATGCATGTTGAGAGCGTCCTTCTTCATATTTTTGGACACTCTAGCCTATTTTTAATTTTGCTCGGAAGCTCAGTGTCGGCTATGTAGGATGTTTGGCCGTGGTACTGCAGGAGAGATGTGTATTTGTCTGGCATCCTTTGGTTTTCTGTCATGGTGACAAGATTAGCATGTTGGAGCCTTCCGAGTGTTACCCAGCTTTGTTAGGCACTAATACCGATTGCTCTTTAAAGTGTGAATTTCCCAGCAGTTTTGGGAGGCTCTTAGGACTTTCTTGTCGTTTTACTAGTCGGGATCTAATTTGCAGTGCTTGCCCTTTTTTTTTTAGTGTTATTTTTGTAATCTAATGTGCATAATTCATAAATGAATCTTTGTAAGAAAATTGCTGCATCTTGCTAAGATGACCCACCAAGCTGATGGCAGTTTCCATCAGTGAGGTCTTAAACTGAAATTATTTGTCAAAGTTGAAGATACTTGGTGTCATTAGGAAAATCCTGTAAATTATACATGTTTAGGCAGTTTCTTCATCACTCTGACTGGATAGTTTCTGATTTTCTTGCTTTGCTTTTTAAGAGGTTTCTCTCAGGAAGATATTTAAATGAAAAGATTGATGCTGCCTGTATCATCCTGACCTTTGCCATTATTTTAGTCGGATGTCTGCAGCGTCTCTCTGTGGTAGTTTCTGAGGAGTGGTTTCTTTTTTTCTTTTTTTTTTTTCTTTCTTTTTTTTCCCTTTTTTTCCTGGAGGAAGGGACTTTTGAAGGTCAAAAATCTCAGGATTAAAGCACATATTATTTAAAATGCTCAGTATCTCAACTCTTCTTTCAGATATGATTTTTAACAAGTGTAGGCTTTTTTTCCCCTTTGTGGAAAGTCTGGTGAGTTAGTGATTTCTCTGCCCTGCTGGAGAAGGGTTCCTAAAGGAGCAAGTAGGGATTTGAACCAGGCCAAGGGCTGGGCAGGTGTGGTACGAGCCCATTTGCACGATTTTGACAATCCACCTCAATCCTGACCTGGCAACAGTATTCTTGGTGCTTCAGTTCTGGTTTTCCCTTGTTAAAAGGGTATTAATGATGCCAGCTTGTTTGTTGTTTTGTGACTAGGAATGTAATTTCCCACTATAATTTATTTCTTAATTGTGAAATTTTAACAATCCACATGTTAAAAAAGCCTTGCTCATAATCCTCTGTAAAAGTAATTACACGAATGATTTAAGCTTTAGTTAAAGTAACTAATGGTTGATTTTTACACTGTATTTCAGAAAAAAATATGTCTATACATGGGGAAGCTACACTAATGTGTAATTCTGCCCTTTTATGTTCATGAAAGAGCCAACACTCTTTCTTCTCTTCCCCTCCCCCAGAGTATGAACTATATGCTCCCATCAGAGTGAAAATGCTGCCTTTGTAGCTTTGAAACCCCCTACCAATTCTTACACTGATTAGTGTATCTCAGCAGTGTATAGAATTGAGTGTTTATAAATGCAAAGTCATGACATCAGAGGGGAAAGTATTTTCATAACAGGTTTGTAAATTTCTGTCTGGAGGAGAATATCTGGACCTCCCTGGGGAGAGAGCTCCACGAAGACCTGGGCTTATTATGGGCAGGAAAGGAAAGATGATGAAAAAAAAAAAAATCTGAACAGTGAGGCTTAGATGACAGTTTGACTCATAATCTGGAATAGAAATGAAGAAAAAGAAGGTGGTTCTTCCTTCACATTTGTAATTGAAGATACAATAAAGAACTAGCTCTGGATTCAGAATTATTTCATGATTATTAAGGGGGAAGTATTATTGGCTTCCTCCATAAAATCCAGATCTTAATAAGTATCTGGTAGCTCTGTACTTAGATCATATATTAGGTTTTGTAAAGAGAAACACTACAGTGAGAATATTTTACCAATACTAATTTTAGGTAAAAATTTGAGGGGGTTAAAAAATTATATTGGGGAAAAAAAAAGGTGTGTGCTACTTTGTTCTTTATTTTTCAAATTACTTGAAATGCCTCTTTCTAGATATTCCTTTTAAAACTATGAGACATATTTACATGCCCTTATATTTTAGAGGATTCATATTAATTCAGTGTTACTTGTGAGGGTTGTACCTGAAGCGATGGTTGGTGAACCTTTCAGCTGTTCCCCAGTATTGCTAAAGAATTTTGTTTGGGTGTTTGTGTAGACTTGATATTAAAGATACAATCTTTCCCTGTTTCACTCGATTGCCTTGTGTGATATGCAGTACTAAACCACTTTTCCTTCTTTATACATACCCAGGGTAGACAGCATTCCATTGTCTAATGTGTAAATTGTTTGCGGAAAGTATGAAGTGAAAATTAAAGCAAACAGAATATGCTTTTATGTTTGGGAATCTTTTCATAAGTCTCTATCTGCGTGGCTCACCAGGGCCTGAAGATTTTCAGTGTGAATGGAATTAGATAGAGGTTGAAGTATTTTTTTTAATGATATTTTAATTATTAATTGAAATGAGTGAACTGAAGCATCTTTATCCAATTCTGTCTTGCCACTTAAAGTTACTTTCGTATCTCAACATAATTAATTTGAAATATGAATTGTGTGACATGAGGGAAAGCCTCCTTTGGCTATTCAACTAGGATTTTCTAGTTCACTGTTTTGAATTAGTAATTGACTTTTTGTATCTTGCATATTAAACAGGGTTGTTGGGGGCTTTTTTTAACTGCACCCCAGTTTCTGCTTCTCATTCAGATGTAATATAAAATTTAAACTTGTTTTTCTGTTTGACTTGGGAGCTGTCTCAGAAATACTAGCCTAGCAGATGGAAACAGACTGTTTGCTTGAGGAACACGACTGGTATGCTTCATGGATAACCACACATACAAGTGCAGCCTGTATGCCAGACTAGGGCTTCGTTAACTGTGTGGTTGTGTAAAGAAATAGTGTGGCTCTGAAAGCGCAGGATTCTGCACAGAGCCATTTACCCCACTGAGAAGAGCCTTTTTTCCATTACGTAAACCAGCCTGTATGAACCTCTCTGATATTTCATCTAAGCTCTTCCAGTTTCCAAGCAAACCTCCGTACTTCTGTACTGCACTGTGCAGTGTAGGCACAACCTGTGAGGAAGTGGAAGCTACACTTACCCAATGGCCAAGGAGCCCAAATTTCAAGCCCTGAGACATGGCACAGATACCTCTCTTCAGTATGAATGGTTTTACCCTCAAAAGTTGGCTAAATTGTCAGCCTATGCTTCTCTGATGAAGGAAGGCAAAATTCACTTCACCTTGGACAAAAAGGGAAGCAGAGCTGTGTTTCTTATAATTCTTATGGTGAACTTTGTATAAAGTGGTTGTTTTGATAACATCTCTCTAGCGTGTATTATGATCTCTAAAAAACCTTCTGTTGACCATTACACCATTGTGCCCCCGCCTTTTTATGTTCCTAAAGTATTTCTCAATAGTCTGTATAGTTGGTGCCATTGTTTGCTTGGCAGTTGCCACCTTCCCCTGCTTTTCTCCCTAGAGGAATGAGAATATTGGTACGTTAGGTTTCTTTGGTTTCTTCAGAAATGTTTTATTGCTACCAATAGCGTGCGTGGCTTACTGTCACTGGAGCTGTATTGTGTTTTGGACTCAGTCTGGCTGCACCATGAATATGTGCTGTCATTTTCAGAGCAGAATCTAATTTCCCCAGCCAGGGCTGTAAATGATGTGTAAAGTTTCATTTGGAACAAAGTGTTTATGCCCTGAATAAAACAGCCTTGGTGTTGGGTATGACTGGCATCTGTGCATAGCTTACAAGCAGTTTAAGCATTTTATTAAGCTTGTAGACTTGGTGGAACTGCTCACTGCTTGAATTTGAATTAAAAGTAAGTGAAATGGAAGAACTGTTCTCCAAACACAAACGTTTCAGTACTCAAACTGATTTTTGTGGGGTCCTTTTTTTCTGGTTGATACTGTCCTGGGCTTGTTTTTTTTCTTTTTCTGAACCATAAATTCACAGAAGTGTAAGACTGGAAGTGATTTCTGTTTCCTCCGTGGTCTGGTTGCATAAATACAGATAACAGTGTTTGCCTAACATCTCTAAAATCTCCAGTGAAGAGGGATTTCGTGGTCTGTCTAGGTAGTTTGTCCTGTTATAGTGCTTAATGATCATGTTTTTCATAATACAACAGTAGTAGGGTTTTTTTTTCCCTTCTATTCTAATGCTAGATTGTTTAAGATACACCTAAATTAATATGTGGCAATGCATCTGGACACGTAGTGTGGGGTACACACACAGACATTTGGCAGGGAACATCAGTCTGATAAGTTTCTGTGTTGAAGGCTAGTGTCTCAAACTTGGCTATAGGAATTTGCAGTGGGAAGCTTGAGGTGATGATCAATGCTTTAAAATGAAATTTTTGCAATTTAAAAACTTGTGCTCTTCCTAAAATTTTGATTACTG